ACCAAGTTCCTTCATCTGAACCTGTGACCTCGACCATCTAGCGAGACAAGGGCAGCATGGGAACACGACTAGCTGTAAATTCCCTCTAAACCTCACCATCCTGACTTTGAACAATATTATCATTACATCAGTGTTGCTGGATCAAAGTCCTGGAAAACCCCCCTTAACAGCACTGTGGGTGCCTCTCCATCCCAAGGACTGCAACAGTTCATGAAGGCAGCACATTGCCACCAAGTCCCAAACAATTAGAGAAGAGCAATAATTGCTGGCCTAGCCAGTGCTACCCATATCCCATGAACAAATATGCATAAAAGGTTCAGTATTGAAGTTAAGACAGTCACTTAAAAACCTTTCACGAGGTGTTGCACATAAATCAGTTCAATTAGCTTTGCAAAAGTATAGGAAACAAGGATTCCCAAAGGTACAGCTGCCACTCAACTTCAGGTAAAAATGCTAAAAAACCATTCATTGATGACCAACCAGAACCATCTGCATCTCAACAGATACAATGTGTGTCCCTTGGTACTGCTGGAAATGCTGTGCATGCACACTCTATTGGGTTTAAGATATATCAAACTTTAGAGTCAGCATACAAATAATGATGGATAAAATAAACCCTGGCCCATTCAATCTGTCCCATACAACTGTGATACCTTGTACAGCACAATACCTACGTTCCTCATCCTATCCAAAACCATACAATTTCTTGGGAGAAGGAAGAAAAACAGATTAATGTGAAAGTAACCACCATTAGAGTTCCATGGTTCAATGTTAAAACTAAAGCTTCAATCCTTTTGTGAGAATTAATTTAAAAAGGGAATCAGAGTGTGTTTCAAGAGGATTGCCAGAGTATGATGATGGATTTCTATCTAGAAAAATCTCAAATATGCATTTCACACGCATGAAAATAGCCAGAGGCAGAAAGGTAAGACTTACAGGCATCAATAACTTGGTGACTTTTAGGTTTGATAAGACTTAACCAAGAGATTTTTCAGCAGCTGGGATCCACAATGTATCTCAGATTTTAATTGTACGAGAAACTCCAGCTAAATGGAGTCCAGACCACTAAATAGCTAACTATAGGCCGGTTAATTTAATAGGTCATTGGGTGAATGCTAGACCCTATTATAAAGGATGTACTGACAAAACATTTAAAAATACATAATTTAGTTAAGCACAGTAACACAGCTTCATGAAGGAAAAATCATGCCTGACAAATTTATTAGCATTCTTTGAGGGGTTACCAAGCAGGATAAAGGGGAACCAGATGTAAAATATTTGGATTTCGAAAAGGCGCTTAATAATATACCACATGGACTACTTAAGAATCCCTGCAGTTGAGAGTAGTATATTCGCATGGATAGAGGATGGACTAACAAGAAAAATGTTGGGATAAGGAGAGGGTGTCATTCTCAGGATAGCAACCTTTAACTAGTAGAGTGCCAAAGGGAACAGTGCAGGGATCACAATATTTACAATGAAATACGTATTCACAACTTGAACATGGGGTGTATATGTACCATTGCTAAATTTTCAGATTACTCAAAAATAGGTAGAAAGGCAAATGATGAGGATGACCCAAAGAAGGATAAAGACAGACAGAATCTTGGCAGATGGATTACGTGGGAAAATGCGAGGTTAGGCACTTTGGCAGGAAGAATAGAGGAGATGAATATTATCTAAATGGAGGAAAGAAATCACCAGAGTGGATCTCTCCTTTTTGAGAGAACTAACAGTTCAGCAGAAAAGGAAGACGTGAACCCGTTGAATGCTGGGAGTGACTGCTATTTCCTGTGAAAGCGCACTATAAAGTATATATGCTGCATGGTGTAAATAAGTTTTACCTGTTTTGCAGTTTAGTTTAGTAACTGCCAAAGCAATTTTCAGTCAATACTGACTTTAGTTTATTACAGTAAAAATCTTCAAAATTTAAATCGTGATTAATGGGAATCCAAATATGATTTAAAAAGTTATCAGTCTCAACTGGACTCCTACTTAGCTCCTAATTGCAGTCACACTTTTAAAAATAAGAAAGTATCAATATTCCACCATTATTACATTGGGACTGCGCTGCTATGTAATCCCATCCATGTCCTTCTCAACTCTTTCTTTCATTTTTACTTCTGAATATTTATCAATTCCGTTTTCAAGGATATTCTGTTTTCTGCACCTGTTTTGCAGGTACTCACTATTCACTGAGAAAAAACCCTATTCCCTTATTTTAATAAATGATCTCTGACCTAGTTATTAATACAGCAAACATTGTTTTAACCAGCACCCTTGATAAACCGTCAAAAGTTACATACCTTAAATACCATGAAGTTTACTGTATTATTCTGACCAATTATTATAGTTTTTAATGTATTTATTCCAGAGTAAATATACTTATCGTTCAATCAAATAGCCACATGAAATATCAATTGTCAATTCAATTTTGAGTCAATTTCGCCTCAAATACCACAATCTACAGTGATGTCCAAGTAGTTGAGAGCATGAGTGAAAAGACTCTGCCAGTAAATTTTATTTAAGGCAAAGTTGCATTATTATTTCAGTGATTTATGCTGTAATAAGTATCACGGTGATGTGCATATCCCCTGCATTCAGTTTCTACTATTTAGTGCACGTGTCTAACATCGATTATGTGGACCTCTGGACTATCCAGAGAATCTGATCAACCATCCTGGTCCCATAGGTGTCAGTTAATAAAACATTTGCTTAGTTCACTAACGAAGAAACACACTCGTGAAATAAAACTGGGCAGAAGGGAAAGTTGTCATTTTCAAAACAAAATTGGCCATAAACCTGAACAGAAAATATTCACAGAATCTGAAGATCCAAGGAGTGAGTCAAAACAGAGTGCTCTGTTAAACAGCCAGTACAGGTATGGTCTCCTCCTGTGTTGTAAGATCTCACAAAAGCTTCTCATAATTTTGAAAAAGCCCAGGTATCAAGTACAGTCTTAAGGTAGCAAGCAAAGACTCGCTGAATACAGTAACTGCAGTTTCAATGAAAGAAACATCAGTATTTCTACAGCCCAATGAAACAAAGTAGACTCAGAACTTTAACTGTTTCCTCTCCACAGATGCTGCCAGGTCTGCTCGGTTTCTCCAGCATTTTCTGTGTTTGTTTCAGATTTCCAGCATCTCCAGTATTTTCTTTTATTCAAAACAAGAGATCACTGATACCATTAAGTTTTGAAACCTGCCCCAATGGAAAAGCTCCCTCCTCCTTCCCCAATACTAGGACCAATGCCCTATGAACCCCACCACCCACACCAAACTTTGAAGCAAGTGTTCAACCTGACACAGATTTGCAAGTGGATCAAATAGCACTCAAGATTTTTGACACTATTTTACCTTTAACCTCAAATTTTCAAAGCAGAATATCACTCCTGGTTCTACTCCATTTACATGTCTCGTTGCTGTAGAAAGGCTAACAACATCATCAAAGATCCATCCCACCCCAATAATGCTCCCCATCAGGCAGAAGTTACAGAAGCTTGAACACACGTACCAACAGGTTCAAGAACAGCTTCTTCTCTGCCATTACTAGACTGATGAATGGACTCTCTAGCTTCAAGTATGCTGATCTTGCCTACTGCACATCCTGTGCAGTGTAACCTGTATGCCTTACTCTGCCCAAGTATTTTTTTTACCCTCTGATCTGTATATGCTTGCTTACTATGATCTGCCTGTACTGTTCACAAACAAAGCTTTTCACTGTACTTAGGTACATGTGACAATAAATCAAATCAGCTTTGGTTATTAGTCTGATGCAAATGATTAGATGCTTTGTCTCCCACTCCAAGTTCACCTCCAGCCAAGAGGAAGTAAGTGTCTTCAATCATGCCATTAAACAGGCAACTCAACTTTCCTAATCATAGTCTCTTGCCCCGTGAATGTACTGTCCTCTATCAATAACATATTTCTTTTGACTCCTGATTTGATCAGTCCTCTTTCCAAGATGCTATGGTTCATTTGTTCAGATATTGGGTAAGAAGCTATCCCAGAGAAGGACTGCACTCAAGACCTCACTTGCAGATCAACTGCACCCCCTTGCCCTTGACAAAATTTGTACCACTTCCCAACCCGTGGGCTGTGACAGTTTGTTGGATCAAAATGGCTAGATAACACTCATGCTTCCCCATGCCGTGCAATGCCCGCACCTAGCTCTCCAACAAATTTATGTTGTTCTAGATGGAGATGCTTCCTGGAGAAGCAGTTATCCAGAACCACACTACTGTCCATAAGTGCTCACATGCTACAGTTGTGGTACACCACCTGCACCACCATCAATACATAATCTTTTATGTAATATAAACATGATCTCAATTCATACTTTTAGCTAATTACTTGATCTCTTTGGAGTTGGACATAATTCAAACTAACTATTTGCATAATTGTGACACAGATCATGACAAGTATTTGAAAAAGTGTCCAATCTGCTCAGCACCAAATTCAGCAAATCTGTTTGGATTTGGCTTACAATCACACCGCGGTTACTACATGTCTGTTATTGGATGAGACACCATCAGATCAGTCCAGTCCAGTCATTGGTTAAATGCAAGCAACTGGTAAAAGGAATTTTGCACATGCAGCACACAGGCACAGCACAGAAATCAGATCAGAGTCTACAGGCTGCTTCCAAACTGCCAGACAATTATTGCGTGGCTCGTACAAAAACCAATTTCATAACCTCCATTTCATCAGGCAGGTTAGACACGAATATATAAACAAAACAGCCAGTACACGTTTTTGAAAATGAACATCACAGCTACTGAAGTAGCCCCTACTGTGACCCACAGGGCAGTCTTTCATCTTACAGCATGGATATCGGGGATTGAATCAGAAAAGTACTTCTTTTCTTTTGCGGGGGGGGGGGGGGGTCTTCACCACCCAATACGTTAGCCTTGTAAGTAGTATTACTTCACCTGTATCACACAGTTCAAAAAATACTCTCACCAGACACAATCCAAGTTTAGAAATTCAAAGTATGCTTACATTATTGAGCCAGAGCTGCACAGTTCATTGGTCCATGATACCATTTCACACATCCAGCTTTCCTCCTTACTGCAGTCCTGCTGGCAACAAAAACATTGTACAAGCTACTGCATAAACAAATCTGTTGCATGGAATACTGCCTTGCTATTACTGGTCTTATCAGATGCCTCGTATAAACAGCTTAACAGAAATTTATCTTGCAGATTTACATAGTGTATTTATTCAGCAAGCACCACTGTTGAAGTTAAACATACAGACTGTGACACATTCACACTCCCTTCACTTTGCCCAGCATTGTGTACAAACATTTGAAGAGCGACAGTGGTGACTGGTAATATCACCAGACACCTTGTATTCATCTACATTAAACTCCACCTGTCATTCCTCGGCCCATTGGCCCCAATGATCAAGATCTCTTTGTAAACTTAGATAACCTTTCTTCACTGTCCACTATACCACCGACTTTGGTGTCATACACTTATACAGGACTGAAACAGACCCTTTAACCTGTGCCACCAGACCAGAATTCAGGGGCCAAGGGTAATGCTCTGGAGACACAAGCTCAAATCCCATCATGGCAGCGGGTGGAATTTACATTCAACTAATAAATCTGGAGTATAAAGCTACTATCACTAACGGTGATCATAACAACTATCATTAAATGTTACAAAAACCTATCTTGTTCACTAATGTCATTTCACAAATCTGCTGTCTTTACCTATAATCAACAAACTTAGCAAACATAACTTGGACCTCTTCACCCATGTCATTGATATAAACTATAAAAGATTGGGGCCCCAACTCTAAACCCTGCAGAACACAATTTGTTACATACTGCCAACCAAAATTCCATTTATGCTTACAGTTTCCTGTGAGCCAGCCAATCTTCTATCCATGCCACTATACTAAGCTTACACCACGAGCTTTTATTTTCTACAATAACATTTGATGTGATACTTTTACAAAAGCATTCTGAAAATCTAAGGACAGTCCATCCACTGGTTTCCCTTTTATCTACAAGGTGTGTCATTTCTTTGAAGAATTTCCAATGAACTGGTTAAACATGATTTCCCTATCACAAAGTCATGTTCACTCTTTCTGATGAGTGTGCCCAGCTGTAATGTCTTTAATAATAGCTTCTAACATCTTTGCTATGACAAGTGTTGAGCTAACTGCTCTGTAGTTTCTCACTCTCTTTCTCCCTTCCTTGGTGAAGCAAAGGAGTCACATTCACTACTTTGCAATCTAATGGAACATTGCTGAATGTAGGGAATTTTGGAAACTAAGCCAACGCATTGGCTTTCTCACTAGTCCCTTCTTTAAGGCTCAAGAATGAACTCCTCCAGGACTTTACACTTTATCAGTACACAGCTCCGACAATTTACTCAGTACCACTTCACCGGTGATTGCAGTGTTCTTGAGTTCCTCCATTCCTTCCATTTCTGGAATATTGTGTATCCTCTATTAAAAATAGCAATGCCAAATAACCATTCAATTCTTCTGTGATCTCAGTTTCCATTACTATATTAATTTCCCAGACCATTTTCCATTGCATCAACGTTAACTTATTTTAAACGTCTAACGAAAAAATATTAAGTTTTACTACCTGTTTTATATTTCTAGCTAGCTTTATCTCATACCTTAACTTTTCCTTAATTGTTTTAAGTTATTCTTTGCTTTTCTAAAAATTCTTTCCAATCTTCTGATCTGCCTTTGCATAACTATATGCTTTTTTTTAAGTTCAATAAAGTCATACAGTCATATAGCAATGGAAAGAGACCCTTTGACCCAACTTGTCCATGACGACCAGGTTTCCTAAACTGAACTATTTGCCTATGTTTGGCCCATATCTCTTTAAACCTTTCCTATCCACGTACCTATCCGAATGCCTTTTAAATGTTGTGATTGTACCCGTTTCTATCACTTCCTCTGGCAGGACATTCCATATACACATTACTCTCTGTGTGAATACATTGCCCCCTCAGGCCCTTTTCAAATCTTCCCCCTTTCACCGTAAACCTATGCTCTCTACTCTGGACTCTGGAGAAAAGACCTTGGCTATTCACCATATCTATGCCCCTTATGATTTTATAAACCTATATATGGTTAGGGTTAGGCCTCAGCCTCCAATGCTCCAGGGGAAAAAGTCCCAGCCTATCCAGCCTCTCTCTATAGCTCAAATCCTCCAGTCTCTGTCGAGTCAACATCCTTGTAAACCTTTTTTGCACCCTTTCTAGTTTAATAATATCCTTCCTATAGCAGAGTGACTAGAATTATACGCAGCATTCCAAAAGTGGCCTTACCAATGTCTTGAACAGCCATAACATGATGTTCCAACTCCTGTATTCAATGCCCTGACCGATGAAGGCAAGCGTGACAAATGCCTTCTTCACCATCCTGTCTATCCATGATGTCACTTTCAATGAACTATGTACTTACACTCTTGTTGTCTCTCTGTTCGACAACACTACCAGGGCCCTACCATTAACTGTGTAAGTCCTGCCCTGGTTTGTCTTATCAAAATGCAACACCTCACATTTACCTGCATTAAACTCTATCTGCCATTCCTCGGTACATTGGCTGAGTTGATCAAGATCCTGTTATACTCTTAGATAACCTTCTTCACTGTACACTCTACAATGAATTTTGGTGTTATCCCCAAATTTACTAACAATGCCTCCTACATTCTCATCCAAATAGTTTAAATAAATGATAAACAATCAGTAGACTCAGCATCAATCCTTGTGGTACACCGCAGGTCAAAGACCTCCAGACAAACAACACTCTACCACCACACTATCTCCTACCATCAAGCCAATTTTTTATCCAATTGGCTAGCTCTTCCTGAACTCCTGTGATCTATCCTTATTAACCAGTCTATCATGCAGAACCTTGCTGAAGGCTTTAACTTTTTTTATGTTCCCCATAGAAAATGGGTCCTCTCCCTCGAATTTTTCACTCTCAGTGGAATACATCCATTTTATATATAGTTCAACCTTTACGCCAAGAGGCAATGATATATTTCAAAACATGTCATTGTGGGCAAGTTACCTAAGCAGAGGGAAGTGTCTCAATGAGGTACTTCAATGACTAGAAATAAAATAGTCACCCAAACAGGATGGGATGCATTCCAGGGCCACTAGACAGAACAAAATACATTGTCACATCATCTCATTGAAATGAATAAACATCCGACAGGGCTAGACAGACTGGATGCAGGGATGAAGACGTCCCTGGCCAGAGAATCCAGAAAAAGGAGCCTTGGTTTCAAGATATACAGTAAGCCTTTTTGAATGGGGATGAGAGAAATGTCAGAGGGTAGTGATCCTGAATAGATAGCATTCTTGATGCTAAAGGGGTCAAGGTGATTGGAGGGAGAGAAAGTATGGTGTTGAGATACAGCCATGATTGTGGTGAAAATGGAACAGGATCATTGGGGCAAACAGCCAAATCCTGCAACTATTTTCTATGTTTCTATTCCATTTGGAAACATATGCAGTACCAGCAATAAAACAGTGATTTAACATAGATTTGTTAAAGGCAGATCCTATCTGACAAACTGTACTGGTTCTTTGATGAAGTAACATAGGAGGAAGCAGTTGCTTATGTCCATACTGGCTTTCTAAAGGTAATTGATAAATTATTAAATAAGTCTGTTTAGCAAAATTTAAGCCCAAGCAATTAAAAGGATGGCAGTAGTATGATTTCAGAAGCAGCTAAGAGACAAAACACAGTATATTACCCAACAGGACACAATTTCAAAATTCCTACATGACGTAAAACCGAGAAATTTAGTGAATATTTAGAGGTGGAAAAGCAACAGTCTTCAGGAGAAGATAGAGGAACTGGTGAAATTTAATGCAGAAAAATGTGAAGCAACACACTTTGGGGTAGAAAGAATACAGCGAGGCAATTTAAATTCAATGGTACAAATTGAAACAAAATTTAGGGACTGAGATCTACAGGTGTATGTATGGAAATCATGGATGGCGACAGGATACAGTGCTTCTTAGCTTTGAGCACAATACAAAAGGACGATAAACATTCATAAGTTGACATGGCCTGTACAATTCTGCAGATCACTCTTAAGGAAACATATCAGGGTTTTGATGAGCTGAGGAGGTGATTTACCAGAATGATCTCTAAAATTAAGGAATTTAGTGAATGTGGAGCTTCTGAAGAAACTGAAATTATCCTGTCAGAGCAGAAAATAGTAAAGGGGTGGGGTGTCTAATGTTAAGCATAATGTGGGGGTGCCAGTACTAGACTGGGGTGGACAAAGTCAAAAATCACATGACACCAGGTTATAATCCAACAGGTTTATTTGAAATCACAAGCTTAGATGAGAACACACAGACAAAGTTTATAGGCAGAGAGATGAAGGACAAAGAGATCAAAGGATCATACAACTGGTGTGAGTGGAGTGAATAAATCTAAAATGGCTGGCTGACTGCCTCCTGTTGAATCTTTACTTTTACTCATTCATGCATTCCTGCATTCTAGAAAGTGCAGAAGCAGCATACTGGGAACTTTGTTAGAAAGGAAACGCAAGTTTCATTTGATTAAGATGCAAATTCCAGAATCTGTTTCAAATCACTGCCCCGAGATAATTAAAGGTATTATCAGTGTCTGCTTAACTTTCTAAACTTCAAACAGGCAGAGCGATAGGAACGTATAAAAGGTGATATCTGAGGTCAGACACTGAACTGTAGGTGTGAAGCCTTGTCCAGAATCTGTCTCAGAGTTTTAACCTGGAATCAAGCTGGTTTTATTCCGAAAGCAGGAAGATGCCACGTTGATTGACTGTGACTACAAATTGTGTGTTTCTTGAATAAGATAGAATGTCTCTACAAATAAACAAACATCATGGATGAAATGATTCACCCCATAGGTTGATATATGTGTGCGCGAGCGCGCAAGAGTGTGAGAGAATGTGACAGAGAGTGTAATAAGTAATCCAAAACTGTACAAACTAATTAATGTAGAGAGATCTTAACAATTTATCAAGGTGATGCTGTCAAAACAGGACAGTAAGGAAGATTCTACAGATACAGAACAGTGTGGTGGGATCACCTGAAGCGTGACGGGATCACCTGTAGCGTGACATGACGCCGAGGTCACGGTTGAAGAAGTCTTTACGGGTGCGGAACATGGCTATCGGTCTCTGCTCAACAATTCTGCGTTGTTGCGTATCTTCCACAAACCACAAGATGTCAGCCCTGGACAAGGCCTCACACATACAATTCAGCATCTGACCTCAGATGTCACCTTTTGTATATTCCTATCATTCCGCCCGTTTGAAGATTGGAAAGTTAGGCAGACACTGATGAAACCTTTAATTTTCTCGGGGCAGTGACTTGAAACAGATTCTGGAATTTGCATCTTAATCAATCAAAACTTGCGTCTCCTTTCTAACAGAGTTCTTCATACCCTGCTTCTGCAATTTTCAGAATGCAGGAATGTATGAATGATTAAAGCTTCAACAGGAGGCAGTCAGCCAGCCAGCCATTTTAGGTTTGTTCACTCCACTTACACCAGTTGTATGGTCCTTTGATCTCTCTGCCCATAAACTTTGTGTCTGTGTGCTCTCCTCTCACTGCAACTGACGTAGGGGCTGCGTTCCGAAAGTTTGTGATTTCAAATAAACCTGTCGAACTATAACCTGGTGTCGTGTCATATAAAGCAGCTTTGATGGTGCAGACAGTAAGCAACTATTGTCACTGTTGGAGAGTCACTATTCAGAGAGGAGAGATTGAAGAGAACGAGCAAAGAATCAGGCCCAAGATTAGAAAAGTTTGATCAGAAATGTGGCGCTCAAAAGAACAATGAAACAGATTTGATAATATGTGCAACCCCTTATTCTGAGATTATGCCCTCTGGTCCTAAAATCTGCCACAACAGGAATAGCCTTTCCGTATCAATCCTGTCAAGTCCCCTGAGAATCTTGTACGTTTCAATAAGGTCTCTTCTTATTCTTCTAAATTCCAATGAGTACAGGCACAATCTACTCAAATTTTCTCCATAAGATAGTTCCTATGACTGATATCAATCCAGTAAACCATCCCTAGACTGTCTCCATTCCCAGTAGATCTTTCCTCAGATAAGGGGCCCAAAACTGCTCACAGTACTCCAGCTGTGGTTTGACAAATGAGTCGTAGCTTTAGCAAAATGTCCCTAATTTTATACTCCATTCCCTTTGAAATAAAGAGCAACACTCCTGGATAAGTTAAAATTATAACATCCCGGTGTCGTACGGCGACAGACCTGTCCCCACCAGTACTGAGCCCC